CAAATTCCCAGTACGTACTTAAATATTTCTACAGCTGTATTTCAAAATAGTTTGACGTTAAAATGATTTATTTTGACCAGTCAAAATAAATAAAAAATTAAAGGTATGAGCATGCCTGAAAAAAGGGTTAATTTATTTTGTCTTACGGGGTAGTTGTTGAAGTTTCAACAGCGAGCATTTTTCAGGAAACTAGAACATATTCGCAAGCCTTCTGACACAAATTAAAAAAAAAAAATTCAACCAAATATTTTTTAATAAAAAAAATATAATTGTGTTCGCGCAACCACAATTATCTCCCGCGACATTATAGGAGACTGCGTTGCCGGCATCTCCCTCGACCTCGCCGGCACCGGGATCTCCCCCCATCCGTTCGCCCAGTTCAGTGACCATGGAACCAAGACGGTCTGCCAGAGTGACCTCCAGACCAGAATGATTGCGGGATTTTTGTTTTATATTAGTGTTCTTTATTTCTAATGTTGTACATAGCATTTCCTTTTTATTCTTGAAAGGGGAACTATTGTGGCGGCGCTATTGTTGCAATTGTAGTCTGAAGAAGAGGATCGAATTATGGTTGTTCTTCACCGGTATTACAGCAGGGCATTCGACTTCAGCTGCCACGGCAGCATACAAGAGATTTAATCACTGAACAATTTAAGAATTGTTAAAACAAGGTTAGCTGGTAGGGATTTCAAGTTTTGTCCATTATATAATACAGCCAACTATTCAATTGTCCGCCGATCATGGGTAATGAAATGTGTGCTTGCGAAAACGCCCCACCTACGATTGGCCGATGTCGCTCTAGTCTTTCAGTGCCGTCTACGTCCATTATTGTCCGAGTGGCAAGTGTTTTCTTCTGTTTTTCCTGCTTTTCTGCTTGTGAACTTTAGGTTGGAGAGGGTGTATAGCTTCTGCGATGCAACGTCTATGGAAGTTTGTTAATTTAGTGGTACATAGTAACTTGTGCTCAGACTTACAGAGTTCGTTGTTTTCAGGAGCAGAGGAGATCGTAATATGATTTCCCGTTTAATAAACAACTTTGAAATATCATGGTTGTGCATCATCGGTGTGTTCTCTGATATAACAAAATGGGATCTGCAAACCATAAATAACGGCCGAGGTTGGTAAATAGTTTTATCCAGTGACTTTTCTTTCGGTGAAGTTGTAACGTGGTCTGTACGTTTTTAAAACAGTAACGGGTAACCGACTCATGTTATATATTCCAAGTAACGGGTAACGTAGTTACATTAATCGCTACATCCTACAAAAACCTGTGAGACGTGCACTTTAATTTATGTTTGTGTTTGTAGGCGCCAAGCCATGTGAATTTTTTCGTTGCTTCGGTTGTTTTATCGTTTTTTTCGTGAGTATTTATGAGAAGTCGTAAAAAAGTAATTATGTTCATTTTTTTCATAAACATAATGTTTCTTTAAGTATGATTCTTGCACATATTTTATCTTCAAAAGAGTAAACGTGTTAATTCATAATTACAAAAATAGCCCAAAAGTATATCGCGTTCCTTTTATTTTGAGGTAACCTATGTCGGCAACGCGTTACTTTCGTTAGCGAGTAACGAATGACGTAGTTTGTTACTTTTTTTCTCTAACGTCTACAACACTGGTTTTATCTTCGATCGGTATCCGATGTCACGGCCACTCGATCCCCCCTGTTGGTGCGGCCTGCCAATGTTTTTCCGAAAACAAAAGAGCGCGCGTGAGAGGAGATCTTCTCCCATTTTCCGTAGGGGCGCTGCACATCGGTGAGCGGTCTTGTGAGCTGAAAGCTATACTCTCTTTCACCTTATGTTGTACCGCAGGAAAGGCTGTAAGCGCGAGCTCCTTGCTCTGGGGCAGATCTCGGCGGCACAAGCTCTCGTGCAGTAAGGGCAGCTATCAACGCTATGAGCTCGCGCTTCCAGCCTTCGCTGGGGTACAATATAATATGAAACGGAGTATAGAGAAGGCGCCCAACGCGTTCTTGCTCCGCTTTCCAGATAACATTTCTGCCTGTCATTGGCTTCGCTGATACCGAGGCGCTGCCGCGGTTGCAGAAGGCAGCAAAACTCGCTTTCCCTCCACCTATGCACCGCTCTGCTCGGCAAAAATATCGTAGTGTCACTCTGCGCTCGCGTGTGTGGTTTGTGTTGGCATTTTGGAAGTTGCCGGAAATGTAACTGCGCGTTCTAGTTCTGAGTGCCAGACGGCGATGAAATGTGCCAACTCCACTCGTGAAACAGGAAATCCTGCGGTTGATATACAATGAAGTCTCTTCCGAACTTGAGTTCGTTCCGCTGACTTACATGGCTCACTATTTCGCCTTCGTTTGCGAACAATAGGTGACCATTTTTGTTTGTAGAAATTATCATAATTTCAAAGTAATTAGCTGAAACACTCAGCCTAGCAAAGCCATAGAAATGTCTGAGTGAAAACAAGGAAGGTTAATGTGTACAACCCGCTAAACTTTGCAGGTGACGTGTCCTAAATGCAAGCGCAACTTAAGGGAACTGCATCACATGAAGGAGCATATCAGTCCATGTTTAGCCTTGACCAAGGAGGACTCAGCTATCCACGACCTGAAGCTGTCTGGCTGTGCAAGCTCGTCTGCACCTTTGTCGAGAGGGCTCTACAGTCGGCAGAGATTCGTGGTTGTGGAAGGATTTGCAAGGTCCTCTCGAGCGCTGTGCTTCCATACCTTATGGACTGCCCGCTGATGTGGTGTGTTAAGTGCCGAGACCCCTACCACAGCCAAGAGCTCTGTGAGTTTTTTCTCAGAAAACTCCTCAGACATTTTTGGCAAACTGGGCTGGTGACCTAAACAGCCCACAGAGGCTTTCGCAGAAGCCTCTTTCCCGAAAGGTACTCCCCTTCTGAACTATATGACTCCCTTGGTCTGCTTTTTTGTGAACAATGAGGTGTATATTGCTGAAGTTATGCACGCGGAATTCGATTCTATAGACGCTTTCAGCGCGCGCCAAAGTCAGCCGCCATAGCCGACCTTCTCTTGTCTCACCGAGATGTATAGCGATTGAAGCGGGCGTTGACGAGTCTCCACAAGGGCCTATGCTGGGGAGAAGGACACGGTAGAATCTGAAATGGCAATTACCTGTCCTGCTGTGGTAATTATGAAGTGGATCGAACGGAATAAGAGGAAACAAAAACCGAAGGTCGGTTATGGCGGCGCCCATGCACAGCTGCCTGAAAGCGTCTATTGGCACAGCTCGCGCGTGCTCGAGCGTCGGTTAAAGCCGGAAATCATACGGCCTAGCTATATCCAACTATAACTCCTATATTACAGTGGTAATAGAAACGGGGCACCAGTTACGGGAACAAGAAAACGACAATTCGCTTATACTGCCAGCAGAATGCAGCTTTAACGCGCAGCCTGCAGCTGAGTGAGCTTTTCGCAGAAAGAATCGTGTGCTTTTATTCTACACAGATTTGTCACATCATTCATTCAATGTGGCACTCGTTTCAATGGAGACTTGCGGCTTCACGAAAAAAAAAAATCTAAATAGCCACACCGGGCCGGGCCGGGCGTACTGCTCCTCTCTCACTATATTTCGTCTTAACTTAGCATGGACTAACCGCGAACGCTGTGTTAGCGCGAGCGGCTAGCCTTTACTGCCTTGACTGCCTTGACCGCCGAGGATTCCTTCGAAGGAACTATCTCGCGCTTTTAGCACGCGCGGCTAACGAGTGCATACTAACGTGAAACGAAGTATAGAGTTCCTCGATATGCTCTCCCGAAAGGAACTCTATCTCTCACCGATAACGAGCGCCACGGCTGGCGCTGCGGAGTAAAGTAGAACTATCGCTCTCACCCGCGGAGTGAGGCATACGGCAGGCCGCTCCCAAGGGGAGTCCTAATCGAGTGCCCGTGCCGATGTAAACCATTTGCAAAAAGAAGCTCTATCTATACTCCGTTTCACGTGATGTGCCGCAGCGAAGGCTAGAAGCGCGAGTTCATAGCGTTGGCAGCTGCCCTTGGTGCACGATAGCTTGTGCCGCCGAGGTGTGCCATAGAACAAGGAGCTCGCGCTTGTAGCCTTTCCTGTGGTACAACACGAGGTGAAACAGAGTATAGTGCACTCATGATCAGTTACCAAATTTCCTCTCTATACAAAGCTTGCTCTGAAGTAATTCCCGCCCATGGTAGTATTTTATGCGCCGCGAGCATTTGGTTCGCCGTGTTAGTTGAACCTCGAAGAAAGCAGTAAGTAGAAGTAACCGTCAGTACCCATGAATGGCGACACTTGCAAGTTATGAATGGGAGGCTTCCGGTAACGCTAGTTTCGCCCGAGAAACGATGGTTTCGGGAAAATGGTAGTCGCAAAATTAAAATATAATCACCCGCTGCAAGTCCAGTACGAAGACTTCACAGGAGGTCTTCGACAAAGACAGTTCACTGACCTGTATGGCCCCGTTCACTGATTGAGTGACGAGTCTTGCAACCTCGTTGCTGGCAATTCCTTTTCCAGAATTTCGTGGCCGTCTTTTTTTTGGGGGGGAACCAAAACTAAAGAGCAACCCGTTGTGTGCACAAATAACTTGTCATACTATCAAGAAAACCGAGTAAAATGCAGATGCACCTCGTCCATAACTGGAAGATGTAAGGAACCCCCCATATGGAGGCTTCTAATCACATGATGATTAGATCTGGCAAGAATCTTGCATATGAGCCACGGACAAGGTACTAAATTGCAACGTAATTTTTAGTAATAGTCGTTGTTACCTCCTTCCTCTAAAAATATAACTATTTGCAAATAATTTCGGAGGTGAGACTATAGAGCTGTATACTTCAATCGCATGAATCCGTCCGACTAACTGAAGCGACGCAGAGGCAAAGCAAGGAAATCGAAGCATTCTAAAGGAAAACTCACCGAGGACAGCTTTATCTTGTTTTAACGGAAGCTGTATAGACTGTCGGAAGTCGCTCTCTTTAGATAGTCGGATTGTCAGGAAACTTGTGGCTATATATTTGGGCGCAGATGCTTCACTGGAAGCATTCGCATTCGCAAGCTCAATCCTTGAAAACCATGAAATCATCAATTTTCCTGCTTTGCACGCTCCTCTTTTTGAAAATGACTGTGGGTAAGTCGGTTTCTCTAGTCTCTTCATAGTCAGACTTGGAAGCACAAGCAAAGTATTTAAACATTCCTCAACGTTTTGGTGTTTGCATATTTCCATGTCTATTGTATTACAAGAAACAGGATAATTATTTTGAGGATTAAAAAAAAAAGAATCTCTAAACGTTATTTTTTAAAACTTTGAAGAATGCAATCGTTTTTTTTTTTTTTTTAATATTACATATCTGACACCTGTTGAAGGTGAACAGGATGCACAAGGCTCATCAAACCTATCGGAATAACACTAATTACGTCTTATATTATAACAGCGCTATCATGGTAAAAGCCAAAAAGAAGCTTCTTGACGCGGCACTCTCTAGAATGCAGTAAACGCTTGTGACCGCCAGTACAATGTTTAAGCAAAATAACAAAAAAAAAAAAAGAAACAGCGATGTTTTTTGGGGGCTTACAATGTCACTCCGTGAACATACACCTTCTTGATATAAAGTTGTGTATTAACTCTAGCTATATTTTTAATGAACCAGTATACTTTTATCAAAACTAAATTACATCAAGGAAAACAGTATGTTGAACGAAATAGGCCGCGAAACAGTATTGATTATAATTTTTTGTACTTTCGACAAGCGCACCTAGGTAAGTGTGACAAATACACGGATAGTTCAAGTTAGAGAGGGACTTTTATTTATAAGATATTGCTGAGCAGATATAGCACAATAAAACTCACAGAAAACGTTAACGTAATATTTCTTGAATATCCAACACCCACGATCAAGCACTTGACACACGAGCAAAGATTCTAGCTACCATGGCGGTGAGCAAAAGGTCTGCAGCCTTTGAGCAGCCGTGCATAATCAAATATTCTGTGAAGAATAGTGTTCAGCCAGCTGAAGTTCGCAGAAGATTAAAAATACGATGGTGGAACTAACATTATAACAGACAAGAGTGCACAAATGCTGACAACAGCTTCGCGAAGGACGTCAATCGGTCACAAAAAAAAAAAAAGACTCACGGACGCGTTCTCCCCACTGCATTAACGCAACAAAATGTATTTTACACCAAAAAATTAACAAACAAAACATTAGGGATCTACGCAACGATGGCATTATTGTTTAGAGGCGTGCTAGGAATACCTCGAAGAATCGGTACAGCTTTGTTCCGGGCAAAATATAACATTTTGTAGTTGTTTTTTTAAGTAAAAATTCCAGTCAACCTTGGACCACTCTTGTACAGGCACACGACGCCACTGAGCGATAGGTTCTTATGTCGATGTGTTATTTTAAGTGTCGACGCGGTCAATTGTTATAACATCTCCTTTGCGAATCATACACGAAGGAATAACCGAAGACAGACGATAGCCTAATTCGGCTCATAAATAGGGCACGTACAATGTGTGAACATGCGATTTGCGCTTTGCCACTTTCAATGCCACGGCGGATATTCGAACTTCAATTTTTGTGACTGCTGCAGCAAAGTCTACAGGGTCAAAATAGCAGTTTGTATATTATGCATATAACTGATTAATATTGAGCAGAATTTAATAATGGTAAGGGAGTTGTTACATGACCCCGTTGATTCGCTTGACATAACAATGCTTTTGTATTTTTGACCGCTAGTAGCAGAGCATCTTAACTCTAAAGATGTAGAATAGAATAGAATAGAATAGTTTTATTTTCCAATACACACATTTTCAAAAAATGTGTGTATTGGAAAACATGTGATATGTTTATGTAAATTGTGCTATATTTAATCAAATATTTTCAGTGTTTTTTTTAATAAGCATGCTTGGTTGGAAGTGAGAAACTCAAATTGTCTGTGATCCAGTATTTTTTTCCTTATGGTTATTTTATATCTATCGAAGGAAGTAAGCAAAACACTTCTGTATTTCAAATACCAAAGAGAGCATCAATATTAAAGTTAAATGCAACATTTGGCTAATGAAGAAGTTAGACCTTACTTTTTAGTCCAATCTTGCGTCGTTAAAGTGAATTCAGAGCAGCAAAGAAATGTCTGATGATCTGATGGTCAATGAAAATCATGTTGCTAACAGAATCGCCCAGCGTATTTTGTTCTCCTTATTAAGGTTTAGCAAGTTCCCGTATGGAGCATATAGACGCTCAAGTTTGCAGACGGTCTAGATATGTTCTTCGTAATAGTCTTATATCCAAGAGACGGGTATGCTAATTAAAGTATTCGCGTAGGTAAGAGAAGATGTTAAAAGTATTTTAATTAAAAACAAAGTAAATTAATCCGTTCCTTTGTCTGCATAGAGCTGTCGCATTTACCGCGCACGCTCGACCAACGTGAACCACAAGCTAACATCCAGAAATCTAAGAAGGAACAGCATTTTGAAACTAAAATTTTCTTTAACAGTGACTGAGGCGCAGAAAAATGGACTGTGCTTCCAGCCACCGATTTCGGGCCACTGCTACGCCTACTTCGTGAAATATTACTACGACCCTCTACAGGGACGCTGCAGAGAGTTCGTCTACGGCGGTTGCGGTGGAAATCTCAACCGGTTTGATTCGGTAAACGAATGCAGACGGACATGTGGAATGTCATAAGCGGGTATGGAGCATGGTAAGCAACATTGCATACGTGTTTGTCTGATATCCTGTAAAAACTTTTATTGTCTCAAGCGCACCTACACAATGCGTGGCTGATGGTGCTTCGGGGCAATATCTTAATTAAATTAGATAGTACGACGGGGAAAGAATGCTGAAGAGAATTTAAAATGAAATATTTGTTTTTAGAATATTTTACTATCGTTACAAGGGGTCTTCCTACTGATTGCTTTCGAGGTGTCAAAAATTTGAAAGAAAAAAACACCACTAAGTGTACTACTTATGCCCGTGTCCCACTAGAGCGACAGACAGAAACAAAAGACAGCGACAAGTTTCCAACCCATGCAGCATGCTCGCGATGGTACCTTTGGCAGGCGTTTAGTCATTCGGTGCTCGTGAAGTAAGCACGAGCGATTGCAAGCCTGCCAAAGCCACCCTCGTGTGCATGATGCTCGTGTTTGAGCATAGCCTCGTTTATTCTACAAAGCCTCTCAAATCGCGAAAGAGTCTGGTTTGAGGCGTGTCGTTGTCTTTTGTTTCTGTATGTCGCTCTAGTGGGACACGGGCATTATGATGACGACCCCTCAAAACTGAAGCTGTTGGTAATTCCTGTTGCAATAAACGAAGGGGCATTTATTTTGGGAAAAATTCGGACCGACAAAACCTCGAGCTTGAAGTTCACAAAAGAACTTCAACCTAAGTAAAATATTTCTTTCGGGTTATCTACCTTGCGCCTGACAAAAGAACTTCAACCTAAGTAAAATATTTCTTTCGGGTTATCTACCTTGCGCCTGAAGCTTCAGCCACACATCAAGTGGTAAAGAGACGCCCCTCCTATCTGTAGATGATCGTCTGGAATCGACCTTGTCACCACCTCAACGTGCTGAAACGTGATTGTTTTAGTTTTTTTTTTTTTTTTTTGTAATTCCAACGTTGCTTTCGTTTTTGTTGCTGTGAGATAAGTGAACATCAATGTCGAAACAAATACTTGATGAGACCTACTTCCACGGCGCAAGTTTTGGATTGAACAGGCCTTTGCGGAAGTACTTCCTATAAAGTAACAATCGAGGGATTGTTATTCAACCATTATTTTAGAGGATAACTTTCTGTAAATAGAGTATTTACGTATGCTTCGTTTACAGCTATTCTTATAGGGAGGTTAAGCTACGTGCTGGGCCTGACCCGCTCTTTGCTCGGGAGTATCCAATAAGGCGTCATTCAGTGGTATAAGACCAACTGCTAATTGGTTCAATCATTGCATAGTCTCCACAGCTCGGTCACTTTACTGATGAACGGAGCGGAGCGCTCACCGCATTCTCACGCGCCTACAGGTTATAGCGCTTTCAAGGCCACAGGCGGTCGCAGATTAGACAGCATTGCCTCAGTAACCCCCCCCCCCCCCCCCTTCCAGCGGAGTCCCTGTTTGTGAGCGTTCACATAAGCAAGAAGTCAGTGCAGAAGTAGAACATATTTTCCTTTCAATTTTGAACAAAAAGCACTTTCGTTGAGAAACAAAAAAAAAAATGTTTTCTTAAAAACGCCTGGAAAAACAGATAGACTGCCCGACGCTACCCAAAGACGTAAAACACTATAGTTACAAATCGTCTGAAATTGTCCTCACTGCCTTTTTGAAAGTTACTACGTGAAAAAATTGTTAGCAGGGCGCTTAAATTTACCCATGTGCCATTGTTCCTACAAATATTCCCAGTAATAGGAGAATACGCTCTATAAGCTTTCTGCCCGGGAAAAATAAACCCCGTCGAGTTACGAACGTAATTATTACCGGTTAAAATCAGGAATGCCCCTTGGCTGCAAATTAAACAGAAAGGAAAAAATACGACTACAGGTCTTGTATTAATCCTTTTTGTTACCTTCTGATCAGTTTTAGAGCGTGTTATGCCAACTCGTTATAATTGGTTAACTCTTCGCCGATCCTCAGCTACGATTTACTCTATCACCTATGGAGCCTCGTCTCGTTTAATGTAATCTTTAGCGGAAATATTGCCAGGAATACCATAAACAAACTATAATTTGCCAGTTTCTGAGGAAGGTAACAATGTTCTGTTGTTTATTGCTTGAGCATGCTCCAATTATTGGTATGTTTCTTTATTTGCTAATATTCGTAATGCATGCTCACTGGCGGTTATTGCTCTGAGACCCTCAGCTTGTAAAATAAGTATGCGTTGATTACAATTTAAGATCTAAACTAAATATCCTTCCTATTCCACGCGTTTCAGCCTCTATAGACTGAGAGTCGTACAATATATTAAGTGGTAACGCTTCAGCTACTAAATAAATCCAAGGTTTGGATAGCTGCCTCCGAATAACAAGTTCGAATTGTATTTGCTTTTATTCCGACGGTGAGCTTTTATGCAATATTTATACTCAGGACTATTATGCAGAGAGGTAAATTTGGGATACAAATTGTTTTTCCTCACATGATCAGCCCCTGCTGAATTTTTCCCACTGGTCGTTTACGCCTTACTTCTACTTAAAAATTATATTTCGCTATTACCACTTTAATTTTACTGATCAAAATATAAATGTAAATTTTTCTGTTTAATAACCCGTCTAACATTTATATTTCGTACTGTTCTAAAGGATATAAAAGTTACCATAAATTATCTTTGTTATTTCTGGTCTGGTTTCAAGGTGATAAAATTACTTATTTGTCTGTTTAAATTTAATCTGTTTATGTTTTCCAAGGAGATAGGCGATTCGAAGCTTGAAGTTATTCTTGGTTACCTGTAGTAATATTTTACAGCATCAAGCGGTGGAGTTTTACCTTCAAGATGAAATGTGAACCATCCATAATGTTCGCTTGGTCACAGCTACCTTGTGCGTCATCTGCGGGGTATTGAGAGTACAAGAAACAAAATGGCAACCTCAACTTTTCTTGCAGGCTAGTGCCTAGCGTGAAACAACGCCAACATGATAATGGCACTGGTCAACAACCCCACGGATTACGACTGCTTTCGAAAAATAAATATTTGTATCGTTCGCACTTCAACATGACGTATTCCGCAAAGGTTAGAAACTATATTTTTCAATCATATAGCTTCCGCAGACTACAGTACGAAAACTACGGCACTGTGGAAGTTGATTTATAGCCTACGTACTATTAAGAGTTGAATAACGGTTTTTGGTTTATTCTACGTACGGTTTCTGGTTTGTCTGAGTCGTGCTGACCTCCGCAGCTGAACTAAAATAAGGAAACAAGAACAATGAAAAGCAGAAATCTACATTAGGAGTGCTATACACCTCTCCCAAAAACGCTCCTAGGCCGTCGCCATGTTGCTGATGCTGATGTGGCTGGTGCGACTCTCGCGCCCTCTATCAGCTAGAAATTTTATGCCACTCTCTTGGACTGTGAAGACCCGCTTAGCGCGGTTCTCTACCTATGTTTTTGTGGTTTTGCATTCGACGTTTTCTCGCCCCTCTTGAGAGTTTCCACTTAATTTGTTTATGCGTGCTGCGTACCCTTTTTGTGTTATCTTCCATTGCGAGAAATAAGGCTGGTAAGTGCCTGCCATTCTAGGTTTTCTGCTCGACATTCACGGAAAACGAAGGAGGCGAAGGACGTCGAGCGACCCTCGACGCGATGTTGCGAACATTGTTCTGCCTCCTCCCAGAAATAATCCGCGTAGAATCTTCAGTCATCTCCAAAAATAGTAGTCCGGGTTGGGGTGAGAAACGGGTCAGTCGCGTTTGTTTCTTTGCCTTGGTGCGGTTGTGAAAAAAGGAAGCTCTCCCCAAAACGTGTCCCAAAACGAAGTCTCCTCGGATTCGGTCGATCGTCAAGATGTGGCTGCCGTCGACTATGACTGTGTTATTTGAGATCCTTCTCAAATAGTTTTTTTTTTTTTTTTTTATAACGCTGCATCGTGTGGTACGTACGATATATTGTTCGAATGTTAACACTTCCTCAATTGCATCTCCGTGTCGTGTCCATCGGTAAACACGATATTTGTGAGCGTGAAAAATGCATGCTTTTCGGCCCTCTTCTGTTACAATTTATTTTTGACAGCAAAGCGCTTTGTCGTTTCACATGCGCCGAATCCCGCGGCGCCGTCAAAACTTATCGCAAGAAAAACAAATAACTAGAACAATACATTCCAGTCGCATTCGTTCTGTCGCGCGCGTCCCCAAGAAAAATAGTTAACAGTTTTTTTGTTTTGTTTTTTTGCTATTTCCAAATATGGCACAATGCTTTCTCAATATCCTCGGGAAAATACATGTACCATGAAGCACAAAATATAGCGGGAAAATACGAGAATTTAGCCGCCAGCAGCGTTTGAAACTGCGCCTATTTTAATCACAGTCCACTCGGTTAGGGTTAGGAGGGACGCCGGTGTGAGTCTAGCCTCAAACTCAGTGACTGGGTTTGAAAACAGCTCGTTGCCCCTGGGGTCGAGTGTTTCTTGGAAAGATGTATACTCCGTCCCACCTTCAGCCCGAGCGCCACGAGCTATTGCAGCCGATCCAGCGCCGGTAGAAAAGCGTGACCTGCCGGTTGGGCAGAGGGACACGGGGAGCTCAAGGTCACATGACACTCTCTCCACGCTGGATTGGCTGGGATGGCTCCTAGCGTCCGCTGCGCTCGGACTGAAGGTGAAATGGAGTATAACTCCGACTTCGTTAGCTTGTTCTCGTAATTTCCAGTATTCACTTTTCGAATGTGGGCCGAGCACGCCATTTACAATTATGAAACCGCGTGTCATGTCCCTCTTTTATTTTTTTGCTCATAGAAGTGACCTTTTGTTAGCGGGGTTTATATATTTTTTTTTTTAATTTTAGCATTTATATTGATTACATACATGTTTTCTATTTGTATATGTTTAATGAAGCGTTACTGCAGTATATAACATTGCTGAAAAGCTCTATAATCAAAATTATTGGGTAAAAAACTGCAGGCTCAAATGAGGCAGTATAATTGGAATTAAATCTCACACTTTATATTCACTTGCTCGATTGTGCTTACCCACCTAAAACAGCAGTCCTTTATGACATGCATAT